GTGTTCTACAAGGTTTCTATAGTGTTGCTAAGGTGTTTGTGTAGTTTCTATGGGGTCTGGGTGTTTTATGCGTTCTATGTAGTTGCAGGTCTGTTGCTAAGTTGTTGTTACAGTGTTCTGTGTGGTTGCTAGGGTGTTCCTTTTGGTTGTTGTGTGTTCTATGTAGTTGCAAGTCTGTTGCTAAGATGTTGCTACAGTGTTCTGTGTGGTTGCTAGGCTGTTATGAGTGTTCTTTTGAGGTTCTTTGTTTTGTGTTGTTTCTAGGGTTTTTTTGTGGCTTGTGCATTTTATGTAGTTGCGAGGCTGCTGCTGAGGTGTTGCTACAGTGTTCTGTGTGTTCTACGAGGTTGCCATTGTGTTGCTAAGGTGTTTTGTGTAGTTTTATAGGGCTTCTGTGTGGTTTGTGTGCTTTATGTAGTTGCCAGACGGTTGCTAAGGTGTTGCTACAGTGTTTTGTGTGGTTGCTAGGGTGTTCCTTTTGGTTGTCATGTGTTCTATGAGGTTGCTAGGGTGTTGCTAAGGTGTTTTGTGTAGTTTCTATGGGTTCTGTGTGGTTTGTGTGTTCTATGTATTTGTCAGGCTGTTGCTAAGGTGTTGCTGAGGTGTTCTGTTTGGTTGCTATGTTGTTCTTTTGGGTTGTTGTGTGTTCTTTTAGGTTGCTAAAATGCTTTTGTGTAGTTTCTATGGGTTCTGTGTGGTTTATGAGTCTATGTAGTAGCAAGTCTGTTGTTAAGGTGTTGTTACAGTGCTTTGTGTTGTTACTAGGGTGTTGCTAAGGTGTTTGGGTTGTTTCTATGGATTCTGTGTGATTTGTGCTTTATGTAGTTGCCAGGCTGTTGCTAAGGTGTTGCTACAGTGTTTTATGTGGTTGCTAGGGTGTTGTTTTTAGTTGCTGTGTGTTCTATAAGCTTGTTAGAGTGTTGCCAAGGTGTTTTGTGAACAGAAGTTGGTGAGGAAAAAAGTATGTATGTAGTTTAAATTGTCTGTATGTACGATGCATTTGTAATATTTAAGCTCTAATGATCTCCTCCAGTCCCTCAGTTGAGCATCATAAAGATAATATCCACCTTTTCCCATTCATAATCCGATAAATCACCTATTGATGAAGCTCTCAGACAGGTCTCTCAGTCGTCTGCTTGTTTTCTGTAGACTGAAGGCCTGGAGCAGAACAGTAGCACGCGGCCAGCTCTTCTCTTCTGTCTCCTCTTCTTCTCCTCTTCTGTGTGTAATTAAAGAGCAGTTTTATTGGCAGTTTCTCTGTGGCTTCATTACTGGCTGGAAGCGAGTCAAAGGGAATCAGCAGTTGGAGTTTGAGTGACGGGATGATGGAGCTGACGGCACATTTCTATCAGCCCGAGTCTGATGAGCCGCTGACAGACGACTGCACAATAAAAACCTGCTATTGACACACATTCATTTCATGCTGATCTCAAGGACCTCAGGTGCACTCTAGAACAGCATTACAGACTGCTGAAGTGTAGGCGGTGGCTCAGATGGTTTCTATGTGGAGTTTGCATGTTCTCCCCGTGTTGGCGTGGGTTTCCTCCGGGTGCTCCGGTTTCCCCCACAGTCCAAACACATGCGCTATAGGGGTGTGTGTGTGTGTGTGTGTGTGAGTGAATGAGCATGTATGGGTGTTTCCCAGTGCTGGGTTGCAGCTGGAAGGGCATCCACTGTGTAAAAACATATGCTGGAATAGTTGGCGGTTCATTCCGCTGTGACAACCTCTGATANATAAGGGACTAAGATGAAGGAAAATGACTATAATAAATAAAACACAAATGCATGCATTGCAAGAAACACTAAAATGTGAAGTTTTGGTATTTATGTAAATAGATTAATGACCATAATGCAGCTTTGCATGAGGAAAAAACTGAGGGTTTGCCTGTAATAATGTCACAGTAGTAGTTAGTTGTATTAGCAAGTCAAGCAATGGTTGCCATTTAAAGTCACCGTTTGCTTCAGATGTGTCGTTTCTTGCAACAGAACCTGAGGAAAAGACTGACGTGAGAGACGAGTTGGCAGGACAAATATAAACAGTTTATCTAGGATTTGTGCTGACTTATTTATTCTCGCTGTGAGCTTGGAACCATCCTGCAGGAATTATAATTATGCAAGCAAACATCTGAGCGTGGCGTGTGTGAACCTGCAGGAGCACAAGAGGAAACATATAAAAGTTAATACAATCATTCGCCGTTTATCAATCAGCGTGTGTGCATGCGAGTCTGGACAATAAACACACAAACAATGCGCTGAGAAGATTTCCTGCCTGAAACGGCCCAATTAACAGATTTTATGTGTTTCCTGGCAAATCATGCATACGTATGAGTGGAACATACTGTTGATGTTTTTCCTGGGCTGCAAGTCGCCAGGGATGTGCTGAAAAATGACCATGCATCAATATTTTTACTGTCTGAGGGCTTCACACATTGGAGAAACCATCGCAACATGAATGTTTATTGATTTCGAATGTTAAATTACATTGCAGTGTTATTGTCATACATGCACACACAGACACACACACACTCACACACTCACATACAGACATACACAATTCAGACACGTTCACACATACTCCCGCATAAACACTCATACTGTACTGTATATACACTAGCACACTCTCTCTCACACACACACACACACACACTGAGTGAGATTTTAGTCAAGATTGCTTCTATGATGTTATCATTTAAGTTATGTACAGAATGAAGTTTTCGATTAGTCAGAAATAGTGAACTGTTTCCGCTTATTCTGTCTGGTCATTATCTTGCATGGTATTCATGCATATATTAACTTTATGCATATAGTACTCATAACATGCATATTAATTCATGCATATCATTTGTACATGCATCATTATTTAATTATTTATTAATGCATGCATATTGTAGTCATTCATGCATGCATTATTAATCATCAATAATCAATAGTACTAATCAATAATAATTAATGCAGGCATTTAGTTGTCATTCGTTCATTTTTGTTTTCTTGGTCCCTTTATTAATCTGGGGTTGCCACAGCAGAATGAACAGCCAACTTATCTGGCATGTTTTAACTCAGCGGATGCCCTTCCAACTGCACCACATCTCCGGGAAAAGTAGTCATTCATGCAAGCATTAATTAGTAATCAATAATCAATAGTACTAATCAATGATAACTTATTAATGCATACATATAGTTGTCATTTTTGCATGCATTAATAATCAATAGCACTAATCAATAATAACTTATTAATGCATGCATAGTAGTAATTTTTGCATGCATTAATAATCGATATTACCAATCAATAATAATGTCTTAATCCATACACATAGTAGTCATTCATTCATGCATGCATTAATAAATAATTAATCATCAATAGTAGTAATCAATAATAATGTATTGATGCATACATGTAGTCATTCATGCATGCATTAATTAATAATCAATAATCAATAGTACTAATCAATAATAAATCATTAATGTATGCATGTAGTAGTCATTCTTGCATGCATTAATCAATAATCAATAGTACTAATCAATAATAAATCATTAATGTATGCATGTAGGAGTCAATCTTGCATGCATTAATCAATAATCAATAGTACTAATCAATAGTAATTTTTAATGCATGCATATAGTAGTCATTCTTGCATGCAATAATAATCAATAATCAATAGTACTAATCAATAATAATTAATGCATGCATATAGTAGTCATTTATGCCTGCATTTATGTCTGTATTGTTTGTTTATTAATGTATCTTGTAGTCATTCATGCATGCATTAATAAGTAATCGACAATTAACAGTACTCATTTGTGCAATTTTTTCTATTATTGTGTCTGTGTTTATTGATTATCCATTATTTATTAATGCATGAAGTGCATACTCAATGCATACTCATCCATGCATTAATACATAATCAATAATCAATATTGCTGAACAATAATAATTTATTCATGTATATATGTAGACCTCATTTACGCCTGCATTTCTGTCTGTATTATTTATTGATGCATGCATATACAGTAGTAGTCATTCATGCATGCATTAATAAATGATCAACAATCAATAGTACTAATCAATGGTAATTTATTAATGGATGCATGTAGAACTCATTCATGCATGCATTAATCAATAATCCATAGTAGTCATTTGTGTATGCATTTCTGTAAATCTGTATATATTTATTGATTATTTATTAATCAATGCATGAACGACTACTATATGCATGCATTAAAAAATCAATCATCAATAAATATAAATAATAGATACAAACAGACAGGAATGCAGAAATGCATGCACAAAATATTAATTATTTATTATTGCATGCATATACAGTAATAGTCATTCGTGATGCATTAATAAATAATCAATATTCAATAGTACTAATCAATAATAGCTTAATAATGCAAGCGTATAGTAGTCCTTATTGCATGCATTAATAATCAATAATCAATAGTACTAATCAATAATAATTAATGTGTGCATATAGTAGTCATTCATGCATGCATTAATAAACTATCAATAACCAATAGTACTAATCAATAGTAATTTATTAATGCATGCACATAGAAGTCATTCATGCATGCATTATTTAATAATCAATGATCAATAGTACTAATCAATAATAATGCATGCATGCAGTGCTCATTCGTGCATGCATTTCTTTATTTCTGTTTATTGATTATTTGTATTTATTAATTATTTATTGCATGCGTGTAGTACACATTCGTGCTTGCACTATTTAATTCCTGTCTGTATTTATCGATTATTGATTATTTGTGAATGCACGCATGTAGTATTTATTCGTGCGCGCGCTTCTGCATTGGTCACGTATTGTACCCCGATGTTTGTTGAATCAGCTCCAGTATGAATGAAGAACCGCGGGATCATTACAGTTCATTCATGCTGTGTGTGTGTGTGTGTCGTGATTTGTCCTGCATCTGAATGCCCAGCGTGAGCGTGAGAATGCAGGATCAAACACACTCCTGCTGCCCGCTGGAGACCAATTGTATCACTTTCCGTTCGCGGGTCTCGGAGGACAACAATAGTTGCGTGCGGAAGCCCGAATCAGCCATCAATCATACAGACACACACACACACATACACACACACAGCACGGCTAATGCTGACTCAGACAAAACAGGAGCATTGCTGAAGAGAAAGCAAAGCTGATACTGCTTCACACGCAACTCACACACACATGCACGCACGCACGCACGCACCTATACTGTGAAAATATCTGTAAATGAGCAGTTTTCTGTATTTTTATGCATGTTTTTTATTTATTTATTTATGCTTTTGATTGCATTATGAAAATTTAACAACTTTTAACTTTTAGAATATCGAAAAAGTGTATTTAAAGAAAATGTTCAATAGTTTAACTATACAGTTGAAGTCAGAATTATTCGCCCTCCTGAATTATTTCAGCGCTTGTTTATTTTTTCCCCCAATTTTTGTTTAATGGAGAGCAGATTTTTTTCCAACACATTTCCAATCATAATAGTGTTAATAACTCATATAATAACTTATTTATTTTATATTAGCTATGATGACACTAAATAATATTAGACTAGATATTCTTCAAGACACTTCTATACAGCTTAAAGTGACATTTAAAGGCCTAACTAGATTAATGTAATTAGGCAAGTTATTGTATAATGATGGTTTGTTCTGTAGATTATTGAGAAAAAATATAACTTAAAGGGGCTAATACTGTCCCTAAAATTATTTACTAATTACTATAATACAGCCATGCTGCATAGATGTAAAGCGTTTTCACTCCATTTTACTCCTCCGGCTGGGTGATGTGAGGTGATTTTGAGGATCGCGTGCAGACGCTGTTTGCTGGGCCGGTGCCAGGGGTCAGCTCGGGGTGGAGGACGGTGGACGGACACCATTTATCAAAACAATCACTGCAGGCACGCTACTGTTGTGTAAATAGCAGAGCTCAGAGTTATGTGCTGAGCTAATGACCGCGTATTTATAGAGCAGAGACACAATCGTACTCCAGTGAGATCATGCTATTATTAAATAACACTGCTGAGTCACTACACTCAAAAGAGCAGCAGTGCGGCCTGTATGCTGCGCTTACACAAGAAAACTACATTTGTGCATGAAAATAAAAATTCCAGTGATGAAAAGATGTGTTAGTCATTCATTCTCCTTCCGCTTAGTCTCTATTTCTGTGGTCGCCACGGCTAGGGTGCGAATTATACATGAGCCCATTTCACACATACAATGGAAAATTGCCGGTAATTTTCCGGAAAGGTCTGTATGTGTGAACAGGCCGGTGAATTTGTTCTGCACTGTAAAAAGTGGCCGTGATTTCGATGGTAAAAAACTGTAAAAATGCTACAATACAAATCCGTAACCTGGTTAACGATAACCGTAAATTGACTTTCCCAGAGTTCCCTGCATGGCGCATTACTTTTCATGCATTTTATTGACATTAATATGGATCTTTTTAGTTGTTTCTCCATCAGTAATGTACATTACAGATTTGTGTTACATCTAATCTTGATAAACAATGTTTATTTCATGACTTTAATTTTATGCGTGACTGTAAAATATATGGACGTAGTGTCCGTGACGTCACCCATAGGTTTCTAAAGAGCGCAAAAGAAGCCACAAGTAGGCGCGGCCAACCGTCGGCATTTTGTTTGTGCGTCATCACACCCACGGCAGGACACCAAACAAGGGCAAAGAGGCGGAGAGTGGGCGGAGCTACAGACACCTGCTGGCATTTAGCTTGGACCTGATTCAGACACACTTTACTTTGGGAGAACGCTTAATACTTCACCACCTGCGACTCGCTTGTGTTCTGACCACATGTGCTTGGTCGTACACTATATCAATAAAGTGTTTAGACTTTTAAACACACTGCTGTAATACACAGAGCCACTAAACATTGTTCTTATGACGTTTCTCAACAGGAGGAAAACGCAAATCACTTCCAAACACTTCAGATATTGTCTGTGTTAGTTAATGCAAGACTATTGATGAACTCCAGCATAACACTGTATGACAACGCTTCACATGACTGATCTACAGCCTACAGCTGATCAATCTGACAGATTCTGAAGTGCATTACAGCTCTAAATATAAACGATAAATGATCTTAAATAATACATATACATGTATAGAGATGGTATATAAGTATATAACTTTACTCACATGGGAAACGGAGGCCACGTAAATGGTTTGTGAGCACAATTAAGTGCACTCAGCATGCCATGCCATCTAATAGTTGTGGGAAACAAGTCCAAAAGGCAGTCGACTGTGTAAAGCCACATAAAACAACACAGAAATACGATGAATATGTCGAGTTCAGTGAATAATCTGCAGGATTCAGCTGAGGTGACGTGACGGCGACCAACGAGACCTAGCTGTCACTCAAGTGGCCACGCCCTTAATTATGCAAACCTAATATAACTTAATATAAAGGAAACTGGTGAGTTATAAAAAAATTCACCCCCTCACAGGTGTCATGAAGGGTAATATTAGCTGTATTAACCCAAATCTTTTTTTGTACCAGTCTGTAAACACCTTTTTTTCTGCTGTAAAGTTGGCCATTCTAACAGTGGGCTCAATTGAAATTTGCTCTGTTTTGGAGCAGGAGCGACCAGGACTAACGCAATTTCGGATGAATTGCAGTTTTAGTTACTTCCGTATTGGCTTCCTGAGGGAGAGCGGGAGGTTGCCGCTTGGTGTCACCATACTGGTGTCTAGTAGCTGTGTGAATGACACTGAGCACCTTCTATATGCTGATACTCTTTCTGCTTGTGGGAGAAGGTGATTGTGATGAGCATTGGCTCATTATGTAACTTCCTCATCACCACCTGCATGTGGGTGTGCTAACGTGTCTAACTGTGTAACAAAAGATGTGTAGATGTTGATCATTCAAAATACAGACATATTACCTCTATAAAATAATAAAATACGGTAATTTACCGTAAAAATGAAAAATTACTTTTTGTACCGTGTTTTTAACGGTAAAATACTGACAACCACAGCTGCCGGTGTTTTACCGTAAATTTTACTGATTTATTTTTTACAGTGTGGCTATTTTCCGGAAAGAGAAGTTTTAAGATTAGCGGTAATTTTCCGGAATGCTGCTCTGTGTGAACACAGAAGGATGAGCGCGTTCACATCCAGAACACACTGATGTAAGAAGTCTACGTTAGCC